GCCTCTGCTTTTGAGCCCGCCGCGCGCCTCGAAGGCGCGGCGCCGCTATTCGCTGGATTCCCTCACGTGGGGAGCAGGATCAACATGCTGTGCAGGAAAGACAGCGCTACGGAGATAAACGCGCAACTCTGGCTTCCGTAGGGAGCCTATACATGAACTATACTTTGTGTCTGAAATAGCGGCCAGGCTCTTTAAATGGACCGCAACAATCGGTTTCTTAATCGCGCTACGATTTTGTGCAGCGTTGTATGGTTTCCTATATGGTTTCAAGATCGGTTGCTTCGCTGCGCTTTTATAGGAGTTAAGTGTTTTTATTTTTTGCTCTTTACTCAGGTAAGTTTGATCTTTGTAAATTTTGTAGAAAAATGCACCACCTGTGCGCAACGCTGCACAAAATCGTAACGCGATAAGTTAAGAAGCCGAATTTTGCTGTTGGTTTAAAAAGCCTGGGAGCTATTTGAGAGACCCGATAGTTTGGTTGCGAGCGCCACCAAGCGCACCCCAGTAACAGTCTTCACCGGCGCATGCAATGACCTGACGAGAGTAATTAGAGCGCGGAAAATCTCGGAGGCCATGGTTCGGGCAAGCAATGTTTCTCAAAGACCTTCAAATTTTCCGGATCCGCATTCGGTGCATAACCACAGGGGCATGATTAAAGTAATAAACGAAAACACAATTAATTCTGACATAGTCAGCACGTCGAGCATAGTCCGTACCTGGTCCGTTATTCGCAGGCAAAAAAAGAAACCAAAACAAACAAAAACAAACAAATTGTTTACACAAATTAGACGTTGGAAACTTTCTTCTTCATTAGAGCACAAAATAAGTTGTAGCATATCGAGGAAATGATCATCTATACACTCCGTGCGACGCGACTGGCGCGCCGCCGCGCGGCCGTTACCGAAGGTAGGCAGTGAGAACCCCAGAGAAAACAAAACCGAAACCACGCCGGCGTACGTCCGGACGGATTGAGGTCGGAGCGGTGCGGTTGCGCTGGGTTCACAGCACGAAGTGCTGCCGGTGCTGCATCGTTAAGTACTTCAGTAGTTATGCGTTGTATCTCGTGGGTTTTTCACCTCGCCGATGTTTTTCAGTTTTTCACCTCGCCGATGTTTTGTAGGACAGCGACAACAATGGACCCGCGCCATACGACCCGAGAAATTTGGTCTCCCGCTCATGTCTGCCACTGTGTCGGCCCGGCTGACATATTCAACACTGCCGCTTTGCGCTCTACGTTTGTTTTCGTACCAGTAACGCTTACATGCGTTAGCGCCGATGGGACGAACTGAAATGCCATCCCGCACTCGCGGGTATGCAGTGCCAATTTCTTTGGGTGAATGCCCTCCAGAGAAGTTTCGTCCCCATCGTACGTGTCTATGATATTTCCGGACAAGTATGGCACGCAATCTGTACTTCATGAAGAAAGGTTCGAACGGTAAAAAAGTGACATATATGAATCTAAGGAAAACTACAATGAAACTCGAAATCACTGGAGAATCAACGTTTGAGTGGGAAGTTTACGTGGTGCGCTTTTTTTTTTTTTATCAGCCTTCTTTTGGCTGTGGAAGCGCTGACACCCCGAGTTCTGTAGACAACATTTTTTTTTCTCGGCTTTAGAGCAACCTATCGCAAACTTGTTCGAACTGGAAGTACCGTCCTACTGGTCCCTTCCTACCTGTAAAGTCTGCGCCTCGCACGATCAGTGGTATTATCTTGACAGACTTTGACTGTCAAAACCGGCTCCCATTTAGCTACGCCGCCCAAAATAAATTTCCGCTGGTTTCGCTATGCCACCTCTCGTTGGTGGCATAGCTTCTTGGTGGCATAAGTGTTGCGTCGAGTTACGGGCATGTAAAGTACCTGTCTGCCGAAAATCAGCACCTCGCACTGCAGGCTATTTCACAACAGCTGACCGCAAAAGCCTTTGACGACCAAAGTTGGCCGACAACTTTGTTTTCTCGGCTTTGGAACCACCTTTCGTAAAGTTGTTTCAATTGGAAGTAGAGTCCACTAGTCCCTGCCTACCTTGAAAGTCTCCACCTCCCAGGACGAGTGGTAGTCTCGTGACTGCCCTTTCATGGTAAAAACCGGTTCCCCAAAGAGTTACGCCGCCCAAACCAAATTTCCACCTGGTTTCCCTATGCCACCTCTTTTTGGTTTAATAAGTGCTGTATCATGTTATTGTCAAGTCCAAGCACCTGTGTGCCCAAATCTGCACTTTGCACAGCCCGCTACAACAAAACATTTTGGGTCCAATATTGGATATCCCGTACAGCTTTATTTCTTTATTCGTTAGAAACTTAACTTTCACACCTGCTGTCTTAATGAAACTTGGCACACTTCGTGCAGAAACTTAGTGAACATCTCGCTCGCCTACAAATATCATCATTCCAGCAGTCCTACGTTTACAGCGACGACCGAAACAAATTTCCCACTCAGAGCAATTACGGCATCGGACGTCTTGCTCTTCGGAAAATTGCTCCAACTCTTTTTTCGGTCGTAACTAGAGAAATTACCCATAATAACGACTCAAACTCAATATATAATAAGTGGAGAACAGCTAGATGCCCTTCTTAGGTCTGCCCCAGCACTCATGCAACGTCACCCTCAACGTATCGGCTCAAAAAGGAAAAGTTCCGTCCGTGCGCGCTTTTACCGCCACAGCTTCGCACGCGGAAAGGCGCCGCAGGCTGCTGAACGCGCCTCACTGTTGAACGCCAGCTCATCCGCTAGCGGCGCTACGCGCGTTTTTCAAAGCGCCCCCTATAGTTCCCGCACGGAGTGTATATAGTGTGTCCTTCATAAAGTTATTCTCTTCTCGTCATAATGAACGATCTTGAAAAACACATACAGTCTGCACCTGTACATAGTCAGCACCCCAAAATATTTGAACTATAGCACACGTGTAGTTGGTGGACTAGGTTAGTTAAAAGGAAGCTGACGCACTTCTTGACGAAAAACGAGTTCGAAGTGAGTTCTGGGGTGTTTCTATCTCGTAAATCCGAATATCACGTTTTGTTTTCCCCGAAGATGTCACTAAACGCGAGAGATACGCAAAAAGCCTCCGACAAATCGTGACGTCATGCTATGATCTTTGAGCTGCAAAGAGCGTGTCGCTCGTGTGGGCAGCGCGTGCAATTGCGAACTTGCCCGGTATATTTTTCCGCACTGACACCAGTCGGTGACGTCTCTTTCTGACCTTTTTTCGAAAATATCGAAAGTGCGCGTGCATAACTTTGACAGGCGCTGAAGATGCGCGAAGGCGGAGATCCCGAAAACTCCTAGTGTGACGTCACGTCCCAGGAAGGAGGGGCTTAAGCGGTACTTTGAAAATGATTTCCTGTGCACCAAAGTGGAAAAAAAAATAATTTCGATATTCGTGATCCTGGAAGCCGAACGAAGGCCACTGAAGTGTTTTTTTCCCCTCAGATACAGAACCGCTTAGGTTTCCCTTTATACATGGTAGGCCTCGAGGTTGTGCTTGTGGAAGCCTCGCGCCCTACTTCTTGCGAGTCTATACAGATAGAAGCGCTATGCGTCGCCCTTTTAACTTCTTATTGCGTTTTGGCAGGTGAGGTCGCGAACTCGTTATCGTTCGAGAGCTTTCATACCGACCAACAGGATTCAACTGGCGTAAGCAAACGCACTCGACAACTTTTCCAAATCGAAAGGCTTTGGCTAAGAATTACATGTGAACACTGGGGACTAGCATGAGAACCCGCATGCAGGGGCTCTCCGCTCATTTTTTAATGAGTGAAGCTGTCTTCTTTACTCAGTCATTCCCGTAGTGGGTCGCAGCGGTCACTCGTCCGGATGGTTATTTTTAGGAGGAGGTCGAGTGAACGGCAGCCTGCCGATCTCTCGAATCTGCCTTCACGCTGCGGGCTTCAAACGGCAGGGCTGTCCAAATTGCTGCATCTCAGTACAGTATTTTCTCGACCATAGTTAGCGCAGTATTCCCAGTTAAATGTTAAAATTTTGAGAAATCTGTGAATGACACAGCACGTTAATAGTGATTCATGTATTATACAAGTTGCTGCGTGACCTACTAAAGCAACATTTGTAAAGGTGTCTGCGTGAGAAGTTTTACGCGCCGAATAGGCACCAGGTGCTCACTATGAACAAAGTGTGGAATATTTATTACCCTTTTACTTACAACCAAAATTTTCCCCTTGAGTTCTGTACACAGTGTGCTGACACACAGAAAATACGGCATCATTCCATATTATTATTGCTATTATTATTTTTTATAATCAGAGCGCAATGTATTATAGAGGGTTCTTTCACCCCTTTAACAGGACAGAAACGCCCTTCCCCACTTCAAGGACTTTCTCGACCGTCACATTGCACTAGCTATTTCAAAGAGGCTTTAGCCGTATAGGGTCTTTTCACCTCCCAAAATGGGTAAAGACGCGAGCCGGAGAATGCTAGTTCAAAACATGAAATTGTCTACTGCTGAGCGCCATTGCACACATATCATAAAAGTTTGCCTGAATAAGGGCAAGGGACCACAAAGACCATCAACACAAAACATGACGTCACCAGGCGACGTCACCGCTTCTCGATGTCCGAGCAGGGAGCTAATGACAGGGGCGGCATTCCGTGCCCGGCGCTGATGAGATCGTCCGGCTGTTTACCGTGCCGCTCCGGACACGTGCGGTTGCGCGGCGGAAGGTCGCCGACGACGCCAACTTCTTACCCCGCGGCCACGGCGATCCGGTCGAGCGTGCGTCCGCGCGCGCCGAAAGAACGCCGGCAATTCGACGCGACAGCAGCCAGAAGACGAGGCCCGATCATGACGTCATCGTTGGTGAGGCCCCGACCCGCCCCCAATCGGCAAACACGCCGAAGCTCGACAAGGGTGCGCCGCCAAGCGGCGACGCGTGCGTCTTGGCGTCGCCGTCTGCTGTCGTCGCGCCCGCTGTAAGGCCCCACCAAGACGCGCCTGCGGTGACGCAGACGCGACCTAGGCGGCGCTGTGTGTATCCGCTCGTGGTGACGTTAGAGGAGTAAAAGGGCAGGCCGTTCCTTCCAGGCGCTATTGAGTCGAGCGATCCCGCATTGGAATCTGGGGGCTGTGCGTGGAGGCTGAGACAACAATCTCGCTTCCGAGAGCGGCCTTGTTAGTGCAGCGGCAACTACGATCGTGCAGGGCAGCTGAAATGTGAGCTCGTCAACTTTCTTTTCAAAGTGGTGTTTGCTGGGTAAAGAGTGAGAGCGGGAGCGTTCTTTGTTTTGAATGTGTCTCGCCTGCGCGAGCTGCTACGCCTCGGAGCCTTGGCGACTGACCGTTCGTGAAAGAGGGGGGCGGGCTGTCGTCCGATGACCAACTCTGTTGTCGCGTCGCAGTTCGGTCGCGCGGGTAGCTACACTTCGTGTAGCGGACTCAGTGCGGTGAACAGGGCCTCTAAACTCGTCGAACACATAGTTGGGGCCGAAGTTGACGGAGTGCATCGATTGGCCTCTCACGACGATGACTTGGCGCTTTTTTCGCCGGCGTCCAATCGGCGCGCTCCGCGCACTTTCGACTCCAACTTTTGGCTTGACGAGTTTAGGGCCCCAAGTCGTCTGCTTCTTGCGCAGGAGTGGCGGTGACGTCAGAACGACGCCGAGCTCCGATTGGCTCTGACTGAAGAGATAGTGGGGGGTCCTGAGCGGCTAGATGCCTTTGAGGTCTACCAGCTATTCTTTCTTTCAATCAGCCAATAAGTGCTCGGCGTTGTGACATCATCGCAACCCACGTGCACGAAGCGGACGACATCGCGCTCCGCGTATCTTGAGTTTACATACTGGTCTGACAAATTTTGCTTTGGACGGCGAGTTCAAAAATGTCCGCGGAATACACTGCTAAAATTACTTAATTCTTCCTTCACACATGGAACCATGATTGACGCATTCCTGCAGTCACTTCCGTTCTATACTCGATCCGCATTTGTGCGTTTTCGGGTTAGGAGTCACACCACACTGAATAAATATCCTCGTCCGTATTGTAGACCTCGGAAGTTTGTTTTAGGGTGATTATGTACGGCTGTAGGAATATTTATTTAACCGAATTTGAGGAGAAAGTACGATAAGCTTTGTCACTTAAAGAAGCCATAAAACGAATTTTTTTTTCTTTTTTACTTCCGTTCAAAACTACTTAAAATCACTCACTAAGGTTAATAATTGAATAAACTTGCCTTAGGCTTTCCTTCTAGGCAATGAGAGTCACCGAGAAAATTCGAGAAATATGAGCATCGTTCATCCCCTCAACTCGGAGCCAGAACAAGCGGCCACGTGGCCTGGTGCCTATCCTATGCCACCAATGTTAATCAGCCACGCGCAGGCGTTGGCAAAAAAGAGAACGCGGGCTGAGCTCCAGGCATTGTTAAGGTTCGGCTCTTCTCATCACCGCAGTGGTTGGACACGAGCTACTACTTGAGTGGCTGCTGAGGCTTTGATCGTTACGAGCCGAAGTCGAGTGTTCACGCAGTTCTCGTGTCCAACCCATGAGCCGGACTCGCGACTGTCGTTAGGCGGGTGGTTTCGATCTCACAATTACGTCATCAAACTTCTCGAAGGCAAGACTAAAAAAAATCGTCCCCTTTTATCCTCACAATTTCACGGCGACGATAAAGCTTCTCAGTCAGTGGTGGTGTGCGAGTATACTTAGGACAGACTAGGAGCAGTACGTCTCTGCAAATTCATGAACATTCCAACCCGATATTGTTTCGTGACCCCTTTGAAATTCACATGGTCTCTCATGTTATCCCTAAGTCGACTTAAAGGCGAAAGTCCCAGCGCCGATGCATTAAAGACAGACACTCCTCCTAATGTGCTGAGTCATCCGTCTTAATGTGCTGAATCATCCTCCTCTATGTGCTGACTCATCATCTTAACTAGCTTAGTTCTAAATTCACTTCAATTCCTCTTAATTAGCTTTGCCGTCCTTCTTAATTAGCTTTGATTACTCCTACTTTACTTTGATTCCTCTTAAATCACTTTGATTCCTCTTAATAAGCTTTGTCGTCCATCTTAATTCTCATTGATTGCTCTTACTTCTCTTTAATTCCTCGTAATTCACTTTATTTCATCTCAATTAATTTTGATTCCCCTTAATTCGCTTTGTCATCCTTCTTAATTTCATTGCCTCCAATTCGCCTGAGTGGCCACGTAAACGTCTTGGTACCTTTTGTGTCGTCGACGTGTTTTCGCTCAAGGACTTTGAAGGTCGACTGAACGATGAGACATATCAGGTTTTCGCCTTAATAAAGTCAAGGGCACGAGCGCTAGCGTCTTGCCTTTGAGAACGCTTGCACATTATGAGCGCGCGTACAGACAGCAGGCGCGTACAAAGGGTTGCGCTTGCTCGTCCGATGCCAAGGTCAATGGTGTCGGCACGTACATTCTTTGATCGATTGGTTTCTATGGGCCATGCGGTAATTCGTTCGAGCTCAAACAACGTGCGCATGCCTTTCCTCCAGGCTATTGATATTGAACTGAGAGAGATGGAAGGACGAGCTCTTGGATTTTGAAGGTCTTTCCGTTGCATGAGAATTCAGGCAAGCATTGGAGGCTTTGATTATTTCGTCTTCACCTCCGCAGCATCCGCATTTCTGCCAGCTAAGGAAAATTGATAATGCGCAGCGGAGTTCCGTCCTTTACCTCTGCGCGCGGGACGGTGGAAATTACAGCCAACAGTGGCATGCTTAACTTTAAAGGAGAAATCTATATTAAAAAAATCTTGTTTTTGTTTGTGAGGACAGCGATAGCTAAATAATCCTAAATAGCACAAAGGACAGGCAAGGACACAAAAGCCCAAAGGCGGGACTACTAAAAAAAAAAAAAAGAGTCGTTAGTTGTGTAGACAGCGGGAATTTACTCTGCCATTGTATGGAGACATCGCTACGTACTGCACATGAGAAATTTAGCCAGTGCAGTATAACCGCTAGCCTGGGGTCATTAAACGCGACTAGCGCTAACTCATAACTCATGTTTTTAATGCAGTTACAAGAAAAAGAAAGGTAAAAGTAATTATAAACCAAGATAACCAAATTCAAAAAGACAAAATGAAATGGAAAGCATAGCAAGGAGGCAATAGGGTTGTCTGTCTTTCGCGCTATTTATGTTTATTATGCACAACCAGCTGACCCTATACTTAATACTTTAGGACATCAACAGAACAGGACAGTTTCACATGCTGTTCGAAATTTAGCGAGACCTCGCACGGTCATGTCTGCTCTGCGCCGCGCTCTTAGTTTTCGTACATGCTTTCTTCCAAAACTCGGAAGAGCCAATCGCCGCAATCTGCAAAGGTGTTCAGACCTAAAAGTAGTCAACGCTATGTCACTGGCCATGCCATAGGTGCGTGAGATGTCAAGCTCAGCGTCACAGGGCGGACTGGTAGTTGAGATCTTAACATATATTCAGCCTCATCCTTCGCCGAAGATTGCAGCGATTGAAACTCCCAAGTAAGGTAAACGTTTTCCAAACAGGACTTTCGGCCGCAACCGTAGATGAGTGGCATTTAGCATATATGAATCCCGTCAAATCTCCTGGTTCATTTCGCCATCAAGGCTTTTGGGAAAGTGTCTTCTGGTGTTGCATGCACTCGTGCAAACGCGGCGTCAGAGAACTTCCGGCTGTGAGCCATAACTGCTCAAAAGAATCGGAACTTGGTAAATTCTCTGGGCCGGAGGTGTGTCACTTACTTTAAGAATGCAGTGGATCACCGTAACACTTATTGATTTTGGGGAAAAAAGGTATGTTAGTTATTAGGCGACTTTCACGTAATGTTTTCCACATACTTCTCAACCAATACATACGCCCAATTTTGATGCTGTCAAAAAGCGTGTTGCAGTGTTGCTTTCAGTTCCCCAGGTCAGAAACTTTATTATGGTCATTGTAAAGGCGAATGCTTTCTATATACCTTTATGAAGGTGGTGCCTTTAACCTCGCCTAACGAGCGCGCAGGCATATGCAGTTCCCCGGTTGCACGGGTTCCAGAAAACAAAAAAATTGGATGCCATACACCTGCACCATGATGTACCCTAAAACCAACCCCCCCCCCCCCCAAAAAAAAAAGAAAAAAAAAAACTACACAACAGCGATTTTAAAGGATTTTTAACACGTGCTAAGCGGAGAAAATGGAGTCGCACAGAAGCAAACCCGCAGTACAATATCCTCCCCCCCCCTCCCCCCTTTTCCCCCCTGTTTCTCTCTGAAAAAGTAAATTAAGGAGATAGAAGAAGGCTGTAGTCTAGCCACCTCGTAGTTTGTAGATTAGTCTTCTTACGCGTTCACCATTTTGGTTCTGGTCATTCGACAAGGGGCGTTCTCTCGTAAATTCGTAATATTGGGCCATGATTATAACGAGTAATTAAAAAGTAATTCGCGAAAAATACAGGGTGTCACAAAAGAAACTTTACACGGTCTTTTTTACCGCAAACATAAACCAGGCATCGCCGAACGCTCATTATCCGCCCACAGTTAGAGCTAGAGGTCACAACCAGATGCCAAAGTTTTAGCCCGATCCGATAACTTAATCAAATGTTATAAGTGATTTTCTGAAAATTTCAATGGGAAAATTGAGCCCATTTTTGCCCGTTTTCAGTTTCTGGTGTCATAGAGCCCCATCTGTTCGAAAACTCCGTCGGCCGCCATTTTCCCATTGAAATTTTCAGAAAATCACTTATAACTTTTGATTGACTTATCGAATCGGGCTGAAACTTCGGCATCTGGTTGTGACCTGTAGCGCTACCTTTGGGCAGAGAATGAGCGTTCGGCGTTGCCCAGTTTATTTTTGCGGTAAAAAAGACCGTGTAAATTTTCTTTTATGACACCTTGCAGTTTGTGAATGCAATACATTACAAATTAAGGAATCGAAAATCTAGCGTGCTAGTTACAAAATTACTAAGCAAACTATTAAACGCCGTAAAAACGTAACGAATAACGAATTGTTCAGAGTAATAAATTACTTTAAAAAGAAATGAAGAACAAGTAATCGTCTAAGTTGCGAATTACTTCCCAAGTTTGGGCATAGAAACATCGAAAAGCCTGCGCTACAGTATTTAGATGACATTTCTGACGATTTGATCTGATCGCGCATCCCAAAAGACCGGCGACCGTGTGATCCTGCACCGCTGCACGACGTACGCTAAAGACCCCCAAGTCGTACTTCACCGG